GATGCTGGCTGTTTTCCTTACTCCACAAGAGCCAGTCCGTCTCCAGGCTAGACCTGCATGGAAATGCAGCTGCAGAGGCCTCAGCAGCCCTGACACTGGCTTGCTTTTAGTTTCCATTTGAGACAGGGAGCACTGGGCGTGTGGGCTACGATTGGTCAGGAAGGCGGGGAGGACCATGTCACCTTATAATACAAAACTGAGCACTGGGAGGGCATTCTGATGTTCCCATATCACACGAAAGAAAGCGTGGGTTCATTCAGTGACTAGAAAAACAGCCTGCGAAAGACTCAAAGGCTGTCTAGGGTGCTGTACCAGCACCCTCCAAGGCAGCGGTTCTCAACCTGTGGGTCGCGACCCCTTTGGCGGTCGAACGACCCTTTCACAGGGGTCGCCTAAGACCATCCTGCATATCAAATATTTACATTACGATTCATAACAGTAGCAACATTACAGTTATGAAGTAGCAACGAAAATAATTTTATGGTTGGGTCACAACATGAGGAACTGTATTTAAGGGGCCAGAAGGCTGAGAACCACTGCTCTAAGGGAGCAGTCTATTTGCATTTTAAGAGAGTGAACACATAAATGAAAGACACTGCAGGCAGGGTGACAAAAAGCTCAGTCCCTTTTTAATTGACTTCCTGGGAGAAAGTCAGAGACACGGGAAGCAGAACAATGGAATGCAAACATAAGAGATTACCTGCGTTCACCTTAGTGAGTAAACAATGTCGCCTAACTGCAGCCATTCCCAAGTCCTGTCCTCACTCAAGGTAAATATTCAGTAAACAAAAGGCCAAGGTATGTATTTGAAACAAAGGTGATGCTGCATATACTGGCCTGGTGTGCAGAGAAGGAATTTTGGTCAGACCATGACAAGAAAGAAAGATGGTTATACTGAATCAAAAACACATTTCCTTGTGGCTAGGAACATTTTACTGGCAATGCTAACTGTGTTACAGACTTTAACTGGAACGTAATTCATGTTTCTCTTCCCATCCCAAAAGAAGCCTAACACTCAGGAAACTGATGTAAAACAGGAGGGTATTATTTACCAGGTTATTTCAGTGCAGCCTGTGAGCATGAATACACAGCCGGCCAGAGTGAGGGCACCCTCAGCTGTATGTTCTGTGATGGTTATTTACAGAAGGGTTAGACAAAATAGTTAACTACTAAAGGTATCCAAAAGAGGCCTGAGAAATCTGGTTAAAATGTATAACCTTGTATTGCTACTGATGGGAATAGTTTTTATATCTTTTAAAAATAATAAAAAGATTCTGTTAAAAAATATATTTATCGAGAAAGATGATTTGAACTCTGAAAAGCAATGTGGAATCATCACTTTCCCTTCTGAATATAGAGCCATTGAGTTCCATTTGTAGCTCCGTTTCTAACCCCACCCCTTCTCCTCCAGCAAGCTGAGGACGTGCAGTGGGTGGGTCTTCCTGGCCCTCCACTAGGGACGTGTGGAACACACGCATCGTTTGGTTCTATGCTGTCTGGTATTTTGGCCGGCCTGCCCACTGCAAGAACAAAACTCAGTTCCAGCTGTTCCTTCAGGGCCAGGATTAGCTGCCTTGGGTTTAGCCTGGAGGATCCTACTCTCAAAGGAACTGCCTTTACAAGTTCAAATCAGATCCCTCAATGAATGAAGTGAGGTGGTTTGAAATTATTAGTAATTTTTAAGGCTAAGGCAACATCCATGGTCATTAGTATATCTTAATTTGATGCAAATAGTTAACCCTAATCTAAAATAGATCCTGTACACATCTCCTCTTTAACTTTAGCTAGGGATGGAAAGAATGGAAGGAGGTGGAGATGGAGGAGGAACAGTGATGGTGGCCTAGAACCCTGTATAAAGGTAAAAATGAAGAGTAGATCGGCACAGATTATCCATTTCTTTGGTGAACTGTGAAGTATCATAAATTTTCATAAACCACACTCTACAAAGGCTGCTGCTCTCATATATAAAAGCACCCTGACTCTGCAATAACTTGTTTTGTTATCACTCCTTGGTAAAAACGAACCTACAGATCTGCGGGGGATTGGGGTTTTTTGTCTAAAGCTGGTAGTAAAAATGTGACCTGCAAGCCAACACAGCTCATGGAAAGTGACGATGCTCCCCTCCCCTTAGTCTGGAGATGTGGCCTGCTGGTCCCCAGTCCCTTCACCGGGGAGTGTTGTGGATGGACCCAGGGGGCCCTGGTTCTGCGCCTCTGCGTAAAGAAGGGGGCAGTCGCCGTCCGCTGTGCACATGCGAGGTGCGGTCAGGCCCTCAGCCCCAGGCCCTGGTCACGTAGCACCGCGTGCAGCCCAGAGCTCTGCTCTGTGCCGCTGTGGGCAGAAAGGTCTACTTCTCAGTGAGAGACAGCTGCAAGACCTGCTGGAGCTCCGCCTCCTCCTCCCGCAGCCGCAGCTCCTGCTCCTCCAGCTCTTTGGCAGAGAGCTCCATGGCCAGCTGCAAATCGCTATCAAAATGGCTTGTCTCACTCGAGGCACCAGAGTACAGGCCTTCTGAGCTGGTGAGGAGGCTCTCTTGGATGGCCCTGGGTTGGAAAAAGTGGGGAGAAAAGAAACAGGGATTATCATCATCATCATGGCAATGGTAGCAACTACATTCTTAACTGCTTACCAAGTGCACACTGTGTGCGTGCATAATGCCATTCGATCCCCCATGACTCCGAGGACAGACTGTATACAGGTGAGAAGTCAGGTTCAGAGAGGTTAAGGTCACCCAGCTACTAAGTGATGGGGCTAGGAATTAAACTTGGATCTATTTGAAGCAAAACCCAAGTTCTTCAACAGGTTTTCATATGCCCAAAGTTTAGGGAAATGCTTTATAAAATCAATCTTTCCGGTTTCCTCCATTTAAAAATAAAGGAAGAAAATCTAATAATCTCTGTAGCTCTTCCCCAAAATGCCACCTTTAAAATTATATAAAGGTCCCACAGAGGGCAGTTAGACCCCGTGTGATCACACGTTCTTGGCAGATCAGGCAAATCAGAAAAGACTCCCTCGGGGCCTATCTGCCAGTGGCACTGGCCTGTGAACTAGTCAGCCGTGCTCTCACCCATTCCTGGAAACAGCCACCAAGAGATGAGAGCTGTTTTAATGAGTAGCTGCCACATTAAGCAACAGGAGAATTAACACTTGATCAAGTCTCTCCCACCAGGCACAGTGTTGTGTGTACAAAGTGCTTGTGCCAACTTTAATCGTCAGGGATTGTGTCAGTTACCTCTCATATTGGACATCGTAGACATGTGTCTGGCTGATCCCTCCATTCGGAGCTGGTCCTGAAAGGTCCTAGGAAAAACAAACATGATGACATGAATATCTCTTAGAAGGAATAGGTGTCATACTGATAAGGAAATAAAGCAGTAAGAACAAAATTAAAAATATTTGCATGCCCGTTGGTGAGAGTACTGTGTGAAAAACTAATAGGGACTTAAGTTACCTCTAAAATGACACCTAAGTGCCAGGTAGTATATGGTGTGCTACCCTGCTTAACAGCCTTTCATACTTGACAAAAAAATCAGTCTATTAAAAAGCAGCTAACCTTGGGCAAGGTTCAGATGAACAAAGCAGGTAATTCTTTTAGAGCAAAGTTAGAATACATAATTCAATATAGTCATGCACCACATAACAAGGTTTTAGTCAGTAATGGACCATGTATATGATGGTGGTATGCCATATAGCTTAGGAGTGTAGTAGCCTGTATCAGTGGTCGGCAAACTGCGGCTCGCGAGCCACATGCGGCTCTTTGGCCCCTTGAGTATGGCTCTTCCTAAGCCTTAGGAGCACCCTAATTAAGTTAATAACAATGTACCTACCTATATAGTTTAAGTTTAAAAAATCTGGCTCTCAAAAGAAATTTCAACCATTGTACTGTTGATATTGGGCTCTGTTGACTAATGAGTTTGCTGACCACTGGCCTAGACCATCTAGGTTTATGTAAGTGCACTTTATGATGTTCGCACGAGGCAATCATCTAACGTTGCATTTCTCGGTGCATCCCCATTGTCTGTCATGAAGCAGCGACTAACTGAATCTGTCGTCTGTGACTTTGGCCACTCCTGTTTGTAAAACTATGGACAAGTAGTTTGAGGCTCTGGAGGAAAAATAAGTTCACTTACATAGGAAAGAAAAGAGGTAATGGACTGACAGTGACGTCCAGGGCTGGACCTTCTCCCAGGAGGGCTCTCAGAGGGAACATGCCTGCTCTGAGGTCTGGCCCTTGGCACCTCAGAAAACTGAATGGCTCTAAGAATGGGTCCACGAAGGGAAGAGTGGGGCTCACACTACTCAAGCTCTGAGACTCAAGAATAAAAGCAGATGTCAGAAATCTGAGCCCTGGGGAGCCGGAGGAGGGAGGGGACAGGAGGAGTGGGGGGGGGGGCACATTCCCTGGACTGCCCCAGGGTGGTGAGGTCTGGAGGAAGAATCACATAAGAAAACAAAAGGCAACTGTTCTTCATGCTGGTCTGTCCTGTCCTGAGCTCTACTAGTACTTTTAGTTAGAGACTCAAAGAATTTGGGATTATACCCCTTAAAACAATAAAATATCCGAGTAAAAAAAATATTAACAAAGCATCAACCAACACTTTCATCATACCCTTACTAAGCAACCAAACTCAATGATTGGTCTTCCTGGGAGGAAGTTGAAATTAAAATCCACATAACTTCTTACGACACTGCCGACCCAGATAATATTCTAGGGAAAATATGGTGTAAGCTATTATGAATTTACTGTTTCAATACTAGAAAATTACATAGTAACCCCAAGAGATATATAACCATTAGCTATATGGGTGAACATGAGGAAAAGGGAAGTCTGTCAGGAGACAGCTGTGAATGGTGCCGATACGATTATGCAGATTATATGGGATAAACATATCTTGTAATAACCTTTTGGAAAAGACCAGGTGTATAAAATACAGAACAATTTCTGCAAATACCATAAGTATGCCAAAGTTATTTGAAGAGGTCAAATGGGAGGGTAAAACCTCCCATGCCCTGTCCTTTATTCTGATAAGCGCACCTGACTCCGGCTCGATTCCAGTAAGCTCTGCTGGATGGCAAACTGCATGATCTCGTAGTCTTCGTCCTGCAGGTGCATGTTTTTGCCATTGTCCTGAACATGGTAAGATTCGGGAACTTCAAACACAGACTGATCAACCTCGAAGCCTGTGACCGGGGAAGCTGGAACACAAGAGTGGCAGTCGGTACCCGAGTCAGTGTGTGAATTTCCACTTCAATTTTGTATACACGTTTTTAAAATTAAAAAATGGTAAGATTACAATACAAGTTTGCTACTATGTGAGATTTAAAAAATATATTTTTTTTATTAATTTCAGAGAGGAAGGGAGAGGGAGAGGGAGAGAGAAAAACATCAACGAATAGAGAGAATCATTGATCAGCTGCCTCTTGCACACCCCCTACTGGGGATCAAGTCCACAGCCCAGCATGTGCCCTGACCAGAATCAAGTCCAGGACCCTTCAGTCCGCAGCCCAAGGCGTTACTCACTGAGCCAGACCGGCTAGAGCTGTGAGAGTGAGGAATAACCTTGGCAGATAAAAATATCAGAATGCTGCTTTTCTTTTCTTTGCCTTGATTATTTTTTAATAATAAAATTAATGCAGAGTCATAAAAAATATAGAAGACTATAAAATGAAAAGTGAAATCTCTCTCCCTGTACCCTTTCTATGTCCAAATTCCAGAGGTAACCAGTACTTTACTCATGCGTCCTTTGGGGAATGTGTGTGTATACACACGGTCACACCAATGTGCAATGCGTCTTTTTTCTTTTTTTATGGAGTACAGTGAACATATATAATTATATATATACACACACATATATCTGTAAACATAAAATAAAAATAATATAAAACAAACACCTGTGTATCTTTCAACTAGCCTAAGACACAGAACACTATTTTAGCATAATTTTTAAAAACTGAAAAATATTCAATTATATTTCTATATACTAGCAATGAGTAACTGGAAAATAAAAATTAAAAAAATAAATCCATTTACAATAGCATCCAAAATATGAATTGACTTGATGGCAAAGGAGGCCAAGGAAATTGGGGGAGATGATAGAAATGCTCTCATGACTGTGGAGGTGGTCACATTTGTCAAAATGCATTGACCTATCACACCTAAAAACGAGAGCATTTTATTGTATCTACATTACACCTGAATAAAGTCAGTTTTAAAGAATATGCTGTTTTTAATACACATTCTCAATTTTTTTCACTGAATTTAAACTAAATCCAAAATTCTCCTGATTCGGTACAGAGAACTACTTCATAAGATACTCCAAACAGAATAATTAGTATAATGACTAAATGTATGAATTTTCTTTTTAAAAAATCACAAAACCCCATTTTCTTTTACCTGAATCTGCCTGGGTCCCTTCCACATTTTGAGTTTCTTCAGCAGTGCTACAGCCATTAACATTTCCAAATGTGATCCGTGCATTTAATACATGAAACAAGGGAATTTCTAACAAAATAAAAGCTTTTATAAATAACGTTAAGAATAATAATAACCATCATTTAATAGTTAGCTACGAGTGCGTACTATGCTGGTACCTTGCCAAGTACTCTTTATGAGTATGATTCATTTAATCCTCATAACAACCCTTCCCAATATATAGATGTGAAAACTAAGATTCAGAGATTAAGCAACTTTTTCCTAGATCACAGTAAGCAAATGATTGAGTCAGTATCATGAATGTACAACTATCCAAAATATAAATTCCTCCCAAGTAACATGTATTGTATATGGTATTAAGCATACTACTTCAGGCCCGAAGCCTATTTATGTGTCAAAGGATCTTGGTATCAATTGTCTTCCTCAATTAGCTATCTAATTTGAAGTTTCACTTAAGATCTGATATTGAAACAACGAATGTGTCACATTTTTATGCCTTTTCACATCAATAAATTGAACTGGTGATTGGGGAAACTCCTAACTTTGATACGCAAAATGACCAAGTATCATGACACTTCTTCAAGCCGGATTAAAGTAGAGGCTGTGACCTATGTCTCCTGTATGCTGCTTTTGATGCAAGTGCCCCAATTCCCTAAAGCACATCCTGTCACCTGCAAGAGGGCACAACCTGCAAGTGCTCCCGTGGTTCAGTTAACGGTACCTATTTTGACAGGAAATCCAGGTGGGAATTCCAATTTGATGAAATCTCTCAGTCTTGCGAAATGAGCGCTCGTTCTGGCCATGAGGTCAATGATGGGAATGACCTGCTCCACCAGGGAGAGAGGAAAGTCCTCACACATCCACAGCGTGGCTTTGAACCTGCAGGGTTTGATGGAGAAAAGACTGAGGACATGACCATCAGACAGGGAAACGGAATTCTATGCAGTAGGCTAGACAACAGCAGTGTCCTCACCTTACAGTCTTCCCAGTTACCTTGCATCTCAATTCTGAACTAGGATGGGACTATTCCCAATCCGGCAATCAGAGCTTTAACTAATAGCAAGCATTAAGAAACTGCTAGCTGGTGGAAACCATTTCACTTAATCAATGGATGCTGTTGGCAGTAAAATAAATATCCAATCTATACTCTACTTGGGAAAGGCTAATAAGATGGGCTTTTGCCCTAGCCGGTTTGGCTCAGTGGATAGAGCGTTGGCCTGTGGACTGAAGGGTCCCGGGTTCGATTCCAGCCAAGGGCACATGCCTGGGTTGCAAGCTTGATCCCCAGTAGAGGGGCGTGCAGCCGATCAATGATTCTCCCATCATTGATGTTTCTATCTTTCTCTCCCTCTCCATTCCTCTCTGAAATCAATAAAAATATATTTAAAAAATGAAATAAAAGATGGGCCTTTGTAAAGTAATTTAAAATTATTTTTAAAGGAAGGGGACAGAGAAATGACTGAACATGACACCATAAAACAGCCCAGTTCTGAAACAAATAATCTATAAGTTGAAAAATGGCCATTGAGCCTGGCCAGCATGGCTCAGTAGTTGAGCACTGACCTATGAGACCTATGAACCAGGAATCACTGTTCCATTCCTGGTCAGGGCACATGCCCAGGTTGTGGGCTGGATCCCCAGTGTGGCGCCTGCAGGAGGGAGCCAATCAATGATTGTCTCTCATCATTGATGTTTCTATCTTTCTCTCCCTCTCCATTCCTCTCTGAAATCAATTAAAAAAGAAAGAAAATGGCCATTAAATCTCTCTTACTTTTGTGTTCTGATCGTCATCTCTTTCGGCCTTCCGATGTCCCTGTCTCTCAGATCAAACTCTTCACTGAAGTACTCGTCAGGTGTGATGGCTGTAGGGTTGTTTGCAGTGGCACATTCTGTGGTGAGGTCCTGCCGAGCCAGAACTCAGGGGAGTCAGAAATGCCAGTGACACTCACAAGCGGAGGCCTATGGCCCCAGTCTCTGAGGCGGAATGTTAATCAGCTACAGATCAGGAAGCTCTAGTCATTAACTTTTAAAAATGAAGTTACTGCACAGAACAAGGAAATCTATAAAGGTGTTACCAAGCTACACGGCAAGTCAAATGCATTTCTCCATTTCAAAATATTTCTCCACTCGCCTTTGCATTTTTATCTCCTGATTTATAAAGCAAGAGAGAGGGAAATATAGGAAAGCGCGTGAGCTCTGGAAGACTTGGGGTTTAAGTTCCAGCTCTGTCATTCTCTAGCTTGTGATACTGGAAAGGTAGTTTCATATTTCTGACCCTCAGTGACATCCACTGTAGCAATTTCATACAGTTATTGTAAGGATCAAATGAGGAAATGATTGTTAAGGTGCTTTGTTAAAATGTAAATTCCTGAATCCTTTTTAATTTACATTTTTACAGAGATCTTAGTTTATAACACATAAGAAAGAAAGCAACTGATTTCTATAATCACTACCCCACCCCTAAAATCTTTATTTTTAAAGACTCGCTCATCTAATTCTCTCCCAACAGAGTGTCTCAAATTCCAGCTTGGGAGTACCCTATAGCCTTTTCAAACGGAGTGGCTATTTCAGATTCAGCACATGCCACCCCAACACAGGGAAGTCATCTCCTTTAAACTGCGCTGAGAGCTCGCTGCTTCAACTTACCCCTTGAGCACCAAACTGGTGTTCCACAGTTCCCAACAAGGATTCCAGCGGGTTCCTGTCCGCTATACAAGGGCGGAAAGTTTAATGTTTAATATTATACTTTACTTGTGACCATAGAAAAAGATTCTCACCATATTTTAAAGTTTCTGATCCAAGCTACCTGCATCAGGGTATCATTTATGGACAGACTCATAAAATCATCCACAAGAACCATCAGCTAATTTATCTTTTGTAGAGTCTCTCTAGATCAGTGGTTCTCAACCTGTGGGTCGCGACCCCTTTGGGGGTTGAACGACCCTTTTCACAGGGGTCACCTAAGACCATCGGAAAACACATATATAATTACATATTGTTTTTGTGATTAATCACTATGCTTTAATTATGTTCAATTTGTAACAATGAAATTGGGGGTCACCACAATATGAGGAACTATATTAAAGGGTCGTGGCATTAGGAAGGTTGAGAGCCACTGCTCTAGATGAACAACAGTTACAAGAATTAAAGCAGAATAGTAGAAAGAGGGTGCATCTGTGAGTGAGCCTGATCTGGATTCCAATCTCCTCCTGAATGGTCACTGCCCATGTGTCCGTGTCCTGGGTCTCGGTTTCCTCCTTTGTCAAACTGCAGTAATAGTACCGTGGTAATATAGTTAACAATAGCGGTGGTGGTGGTGAACAATTACTGTGTGCTAGCCACATACTGCAGGCACGGCTCTAAATATTTATTTGTAGTAACTCACCTAATCCCCCCAATAACTCTTAAGGAAGATCTAGAAGCACTTCTACTTCATTTTTGAGGAAACTGAGGCACAGATGGTCAGCAACTTCACAGAACCAGCCACGGGCAGAGCTGGGCAATGGTGACCAAGTTCTGTCTAAATTTTTCATTGTGACAGTTTGGACCAAATCACTTATTCCAGAGAAAGTATTACCCAATAGCCTTATCTACTTTTTCATCCAACAATTGTTCTTCATAACACACAAACAAGTCCTCGTGAATGGCTTTAATTACAGCTGAAGCCAACTATGGAGAAATATCTCCAAGAAGGAGTCAGACTAAGGACATTTTTATGAAAAGTCAGCCAGCGTCGGGATTGGCACAACTGATCACATTAACCCCAAAACTTACCAGAGCCAACAAAGGCTCTCTCGAGGCTTAAAAAAGGGGTGGAGGCCCAGCGGGTGTGGTTCGGTGGTTGACCACTGACCGATGAGCCAGGAGGTCACGGTTCGATTCCCAGTCAGGGTTCATGGCCAGGCTGTGGGCTTGGTCACCGGTAGGGTGCTTGCAGGAGGCAGCCGATCAATGATTCTCTCTCATCATTGATGTTTCTATCCCTCTCTCTGAAATCAATTAAAAAAACACACCACAACTTATTTTTTTTTTTTAAGGGGTGAAGAATTACCTTTATATCTCTTTTTCTCTTCCTCGGTCAAATGTTCTGTCCGTATTTTGGTTATCACACTCACATTATTTACTGTGTAAACCTTGAGAGACGTGTGCAAGAGAAAATAGTGACACAGGGAATCAAAACTCAAATAAGCATAGCCAGAGCAAGAATGCTGAAGCCAAAAATAAAAAAGAAATGCAGCAAAATAAAAATGAGGACTGGTTAACACTCATTAGGACCCTTCAGAGAAAGTACATAGCGACCAGCTTAGAAAGGCCTCAGCAGTCACTTTGCATCTCGGAGAGTTTTAAACACTGAGGACTGAACAGGACAGGTTTCATCTTCTTGTTGCCAAATGCTCTCAAGAAGGTCCTGCACGTCAGGCCTCCCCCCTGCGTCTCTATGGCGCTCAGGCATCCGAACCTGCACTGAGGACTTCGACTGATTTCTGGCCATCTTGTAATAGGACGTACAGTAAGACAGCCATCCGCCAGGCAGGAGGAAAAAGGAGTGAACCAAAGGTTCTCTACACTGATAAGCTTTACAACCAGAAGTCACTATCTAAAGGCATGCTGGGTATTGACAAAAATCATTGTAGCTGCCAGAGGCAATGCTCTCTGTTATCAAGGTCGACTGGGAACTATGGGCGTTTAGAAAATCCAGTGTCTCGATTAACAGAATTAACTGTATCGAGCCTACGTTCCAAGGTCCAGGAAACACACTCAGCACTGCAGTGACTGTTACTAAATGTGTCCTGCTGGGCATGACGTCAGCTTTCTTTGCTGCTCAGAGGTCACCAGAGGATTCTGCGGGGCCTGGCTCCATCCCCTGGACCATCAATCCTGCTGCACTGCAGGCTCAGGAAGGGCCAGGAAATAGGGCTGTCCAGCGGACAAAATGCCAGCCGTCGTCTCCACTATGACAACTATGTTCTAATTCACTGATGTCATGTAAGTGGGCTGCAAGCCAATTGGTTACACATAGGCTAACTAAAAAAATGGAGACTCATAAAAGCTACTGTATTTTTTTAAAAGCCACTCAGGTTATAAAAAAAGATGAACAGTCATGTTAAGTCTAATCCTCTGTTTTTGTGTGTGTGTGTTTCATTCTTACCAGGACACCTGGTACCTGTCCTCATTTCTCTACAGTCGTGTTTCTCTTTGGCATAACTAGAGACCTCCTTGGGACATGCTATCCCACCTTCTGAGTCAAATAAGATAAAAATCCAAGTGAGAGACACACTACACAGTACTTAGTCCCCAGAGCATTTCCATGGCACGGATGCATAACAATCTGAACAGACTCATTTGCATAGAAGCTAAATTGCTATATTAAATCTTATTTTAAGAGTTTCCTTTTACCTTTGCTTCGTAACCATTAACAACTTCTGCTTTATCTGTCCTCCAGCCCCAGAATCCGGCTTTAGTTCTGATAAAAAGTGAACACCACAAATTTCTACATGTACAACATGCCATTCAGATTCATCCCTGCAGCCTCTATAGTTTCTTGCCCCAGCTTAAGTTAGTGAAGGTCACCTGGAAATCATGGTCCAGTGTCCATAAAGGACTTTATCCATGACAGATGGCTGAAGCATCTCCCGCACCCTCCCAGCCGTCAATCAGTTTGCCTCACCCCTGGCACAGAAAGCCTCCATTCTTGGCTTCTTTACAGTATTTGCCAGCACGGGCAGCAGAAGTGGTGACATTTATCGGACAGCTGTCCCCAAGGAGTGCGATGACCAGCGTCCAAGGCTCGCCACAAGGTAGTATCTGGGTCAGAGCATTTATCTGGGTCATCTTAACTATGGGCACAGATGTCAGGGGCTCTGGCCCATAAGCAGCCACCATCAGTGGAGGAATTCTTAGAACAAGGACACACAGACCATCTTGCTCCTTAGGAGAGTGGGGGTGGCGGGCAGGAACTCATCACTGTGGCAAGCTGCTTGGAGAAACCATCAGTGCCTCCAAATGGCTTGGGAGTCAGTCACGCATTCTACCAGGCTGGGTGCAGCGGGGGAAAGGGTGTTAAAAGCAGGGTTTCAGCCCAGCCGTTGGTCCCAGCTCTGTGGAACTGCTTTAAAGTAGCCCGGCATTCCAGCAGCAGCTGCGGCATTGGTAAAGTGCCCGAAACCCAGTTATTCCACCCAACAGATTCCTGGAAAAAATGCATTTAGGAACCAACAGCAGCCAAGAGGCTCTGGTTCTTTTTCAGAGCATCACACCCTGGGAAATGCTACCACTCAGGGGAGCCTGGCCAGACCGCCCCTTTGTCTAGGACATCACATCCTAGCTCCACTGTGACTGCTGCACGTGGCCCTGTGTAGGGCAGCTGCCTGCCTTCTGCTCTGACCCTGGAGTGAAGTGGGACATCAGGTGGCATGTTAGCCAGTCACAAAGAAGGTCTGTGATCATTTGCATATTGTGTTTCCAAACAGTTTGCTTTCCTTCTAATGGGATTTAGTAAATGAAATGAGGCCAGATGGGGTAGAAGGAGTTCTATGTATGCATTACAGCCCACCAGAGGAAGGAGGGACCAAAGCTTTAAATGTCCCATTAGTTGTCCACAATTAGTACGCCGTGGCCCTTGGGGGGAAAGAAAGAAATCCTAAAGGGATTACACAAACTACTTACTCACATGTCCAAGTGACATGTCAGAAACAAAATGATCCTGGGGTGCAGAGGGCTAGAGACCACACCTAACTGATGAATAAACCGGAGCCCCCTCTTAGGCATTGATAACTGAAAATCGAGATACTCCTTTTGGTTAACAAATTCAATCCTCAGTTCCTGTCTGTCACTAAGTCACTTGACAGTTCAGCACAGGAAATACTCCTTTCCTGGCACAGAGTCGTCCGAAGGACCGAAGGATGACCAGGTCACTCCATGTGTCCTTCACATGCGCTAAGCGAACAGCTGCACTGCTCTCCCTGGGAACCACCGTGCTCCTCACTCACCTCCCTCAGCCGCAACCCTGAGGATTCCATTTCCTTTTTCACCTTCACTCTCTGATGGTTTCGTTTTGTTTTTTAGAAATTAAAGAACTTATTGCCCAGCCAGTATGGCTCAGGGGTTGAGCATTGACTTATGAACCAGGAAGTCATGGTTCGATTCCCAGTCGGGGCACATGCCCGGGTGTGGGCTGTCCCCAATAGGGGGCATGTGGGAGGCAGCTGATTCTCTCTCATCATTGATGTGTCTATCGCTCTCTCTCTCTCCCTTCCTCTCTGAAATCAATAAAAATAAATACATTTTTTAAAATTAAAGAACTTATTTTGATATTTCTTCAATAATGATGCAAGACTGAATTCCATCCAATAGAGGCATCTCCTTTGGGGTAATCTGCAGATAGCAACATCCACTAATCCAGCACCAATTCCTTCACGAAATCCGCCACCAATCTGCCCTCTTGACTGGAAGTCAGTCCTCTGACAGTTTAGTTACTAAATTCAATGTCTACATCCTAGTTTAAAACCAAGACTCTAATAACTCCTTGGCACTTAACTTTATATGCAGAGGCACATGAAGATGATATGAGAGATCTCAGCTCCCTCTTTTGCCATTTTCACCTCTGCCTGTCTCCACTGAGACCCCCCCACCCCCACCCAAGGCCACTGGCTTGGAGCAAGCACTGGCTAGGAGGCTGCCACCCAATGGGAGAAAAGCTATGGTGGTGGCAGGAAATCCTTCGTTTAGGATGAGTTGAGCATAATCTTTCAGAGAAGAGAAAAACCCAAAATGTGATCAGAGGGTATATGTTAGGCCAAAAATTTATGCACGAAGGACACTGATTTACAGGTATCAAGCCCCAAGCAAGATTAGAAAAAAGAAACGGATGACAACGACTATTATAGTATTAGAGACCCACATCTTCCACCTCCAATCACATGGACACTCACACCTCCGGCAGCAAACCTCACCCAAGAGCGCCTCGAATCCTTACTCGGTGCACAAGGTGCTCACTGATCCCCACAAAACAAAGCAGCCGAGCACACAGAATCCCGGAGCTGAAGCCTCCTGCCCAAGCCGCACAGGTAGCTGGCGGCCCTGCTGATGAGGGTCGGTTCTTCCAGCTCTTGTCACTACTGCTGGGAGACGGCAGTGAGGGCAGGGTCCTCTGTCTTCTACCTTTAGGGACAAAGCCCAAGGCTAAATGTCTGCAGAGGCATGTGCCCAAGACTGCAGAGGTCTTCCCATATCCTTACTGGTAAAGCCATGGTCAACTGCTGTCCCTGGAAGACAATGGCTGTCACCCGGGGAGGCTGACAGTGCGGTACTGACCCCGCCCAAGCAGCAGCACACCTGGTGTTTTGGTTTTCTCTTATGCTACAAGCAAATACCCTCATTCCACAGCTCAATCTAAACTAAAAGAAAAGGGCACTGAACAAGTCTTCTCCATGACTCAACAGAAAACTCAGGTTTATTAATAAATTTTATATTGGAAATGAAGAAAAGAAAAAGATAGGATTGTTAGTATGTGTGTGAAGAGCAAAGGACACCTAAATCCAGGATAATGTTCATATTAGCTCATGTTATGCTGCTTTGGTTTACAGAGAGCTGGATGTGACATCCTAGGCAAACACCCGGGGCTCCTCCAGACCCCCCGGTAACAGCAGTGACAGCGTCCGCGTCCCTTACAAAGGCCCCCAAACCTCTGCACAGCCCACAGGCAGATGAGCAGACACGAGGTTCTCATCTGGGGTAACTGAGACATAGACCTCTCTGAGGTTTTTTCAGGTAGAGTCTGCAATAGAACTGAAACCCCTCCAGGCTCTTGCTCTAAACTATTAGGCCTCACTGCAGGGAAACTGGGGAGAGAGAAGCACATTCAACTATGTGAAAGGTGTGAATTTGACTGATACCAGTGTAACCACATTCAATAGCTTCCAGAAACTCAAAGTCCCATGGTCGGGGACTAGGGAGTCTTGTGGATCCCCAAACACCAAAACAAAAATAAAATTCAAGTAAAATCCATTAAAAGGGCCCATGAAAGAATAGGAAGACATTTATCCAAGACTTAACCAATGTGCTATAACAGTGATGTATGATGAAGGATGTCAGTAATGGTTTACATTTGGTGAGAGCAGAGATTAACTTTAAAACGCTAGTGCTTAAACTGGCATATCAGAAAAAAAACCCCAGTCCACCCATAATTTCCAATCAATACATACATGCCACTAAAGATGGCAGTAAAGGGATGAGAAATTAAAATGCAGAGCCCAAATTCATACCTTTCAAAAGCAATATTTTTAGTATCGAGGCTGGTGTTAATGACTGGGCTCGTGAGCCGCCTTTCAACCTCCCTGCCTGTTGGCTTCATCAAGTCCAGAGTGAGGCGCTCCATTTCCTGGGAAAGATCAAAGTGTTCAGTGGTGACCACTTTGTCATCATGGTTGACTTCCATCACCTCCGCCCAGTTGTCTGTTAAAGGAAACAAGGGCATAACTAAGTACAATGCAAAAACAAGAAAACCTCACATGTGAAAATGCATCACCTTCCAAGACTGCATCTTTGAGCCATCTTCCCCAGAGATGCAGACTTTTAAAATAATTTGCATTCTTTGTTAGCAACACATTTATCTGCATACTTTTTAAAATATATTACAAAATATACATTATTTATGCACAACACTGGATAGGCCATGCCATTTATGGAGGGAACAGAACGAATGAGATACAAGACAGAGGCTTGTATTCAAAAGTTCAGGGATATGAGAGATGTTGGGTGGTAAATAATACACACAAGAGAATTATACAGATAACAAGTAAGATACAGGAACTGAGAGGTGAATAATTAAAAGAACGACAAGCCCGCCGATGTGGCTCAGTGATTGAGCACTGATCCATGAACCAAGAGGGCTGGGTTCAATTCTGAGTTAGGGCACATGCCCGGGTTGCGGGCTCAATCCCCAGTAGAAGGCATGCAGGAGGCAGTCAATTGATGTTTCTCTCTCATTGATGTTTCTACCTCTCTCTCTTTTCTCTCTCTCCCTTCCTCTCTCTAAAAATAAATAAGAACATAACTTTAAAAAGAACAACAAAAAAATGCCCAGAAAGGATCAGATAAGGCGTGAATGTGAATGCGTTTCATGGTTAAAAATCACTCTGTAACTTAGCATGAGCAGTGATTACTACAATGAAATCACTCACCTTCTCCCTTAAATATGAAACTACGCCTCCCTCTTATCCAGCTCATGTTCTCAAATCCCAGCAATGTGATATCAACACGCAGTTTGGCACCACTTTTCCAAATGCGACAGACATCATTTGGGCATATTCTGGAAACCAAGGGCACTGAAGAAGAGAAGTATATTACTGAGAAAAACCTGATGGCCAAGTAGAACACCCAGAAATCAGGATTCTGATTTTAATGAAAGGATAGGAATAGAAAGATGGTGACTGTCACACAGAGCTGGACCTGGCTGGATGTGATACAAGAAGTCACTCTTAAAAAATAAAGATGGCCCAGCTGGCATGGCTCAGTGGTTGAGCGTTGACCTATGAACCAGGAGGTCATGGGTTCGATTCCCGGTCAGGGCACATGCCTGGGCTGTGGGCTCCATCCCCAGTGTGGGGTCTGCAGAAAGCAGCCTGTCAATGATTCTTTCTCATCATTGATGTTTCTATTTCTCTCTCCCTCTCCCTTCCTCTCTGAAATCAATAAAAATATATTTTAAAAAATAATAAAAAATAAAAAAGGACCTTCTGTTTTATAGCCCTTTATAAAAGTGCAGATCTATGTCCTGTCTGGAGAAAGCTCTAACTGAATTCCTTAAGAGTATGCTCAATGCCAAAGCGAGCTCCTCTCCTTGGCTGCCATCAGAGCTCGAGTGTGTCCATCTGGCCTTTCTCGTTCACATGTGCTACGTTTGCCATATGGCTGCGTCTACCATATTGTCAGATCCACCATTCAAATGATCAAATGTCTAAAATGTGCTGCTTTTTAACAAAACCTGAAATCAGAGTGAATATTTGCATTAGGGAAAACTTGTTTGTTTCACAGAAGAATATTAAGTTTTCTTCTTTTATATACTTTTTACTCCATTTCAATGTTTCATTATAAATATGACGTCTTGCCTGAAAGGGAAGTCTGGAAGTGAAAATGGCTGAAAACTGGGAATTAGGAGCTGTCATTAACTCATCAACTAGAAATAAAAGTAGAACATCTATGAAAATTACTGTCTGTCAATTTACCTTACATAAGATTTTGGAGAAAAATACATCCATTTTGTAAAAAACAAGCTACTCCAAAGAGATCAACCAAAGGACTTGTATGCATGCATGCATATAAGCCAAACCAATGGACATGGACACCAGGGGATGAGAGCATGAGTGTGGGGGGAGGGGGTTTAATGGGGGGAATGAGGACACATTTGTAATTCCTTAACTAATAAAGAATTTAAAGATTTAAAAACAAACAAATAAAAAAACCAACAAGCTACTCCAATGTTCATCTCATCTTCTTCCTCAGAATAACAACTTTAAAAGAATCAAGCTAAACCACATAAGGAAGTAACTAAATTATGGTAAGTCTTACTAAAATATTAGCCTTTTAAAGAACTAATAATGTGGATCAATGCCAACTGGAAATGACAAAAGAGACAAAATTGTCTCTATGTTGTATTTATGGATGCTTGGGAGAAAAAGTCCTACGAGTGGGGAAAAGACTAGAAAGAAAACGCCCACAGCACTAACACCAGTGGTGCTGAAGTGGGGTTAGAGGTGACTATTTTTCCTAATTCTTATCTATGCATTTTATAGATTAAAAAAAATACATGTAACTTTTATAAAGGGAAAATAAACCAATATTCAGGCTAAATAAAGTTGGAAGCAGAAATAAGTCACAAGCCCACAGCCACTCACCCCAGCTGGTGAACTCCCATTTCATCTGCACATAGAAGTCTGGAGTCTGAAGGACAAAGGTTGAAAAGAAATTACCCTCGGTGCTATTAACCAAACACAAGCACAGGAAGGGTTAACAGGGCTTTTCAAAGTGGGGGAGGGGGAGAGAACAGAGAAAATAAGAAACACAAAATGCAAACCCATCAAAATAAATGCTTGTTTTACATTCAGGCTGTGATTTATTCTTGATATAAAATGTCTGGACAGTTAATAAAGTTAACTGGAAGCAATAAGGTTGGAGGGGGATAAAAGTCAAATCTGATGGAGGGGCTCAATCTGGTTCGTAACAGTAACGTAAGGAGGAGCCCGGGAGGATGGGTAAGCACCGCCAGGCAGTGTGCGAAACAGGCTGTTCCAAGCAGAGAGGAAGGTCAGTCCATCTATCAGGCTGGGAACCTGACCGCGAAAGGCTCTGTGTTCTGGAAAAGGCTGCGCGGTAACGCACCACCCTGAAACTGAAAAGAGGCAGCTGGACATCACTTCCCCAAGAAGCCATATCCCCTCCAGTTCACAAAAGACTTTTGCCCCCGCCTTCCTCTTCAACTCTTAGAATGTGGCTTTTTCAAGTTTTACACCACCCCAGCAGCCCTGTTTAAGATGCTTTTCTGACCTACAAGGCTCCTGGAGAGCGCCTTAATTTCTTAAGTACCACCCTACTTAATTTCCAGTTACCATCCAAGAAGAGAAATGCGAGGAAGTCCAGGTGTTTTTCTGTTCACTCCCACCTCTCAAGTTTTGCCAGGTTTTTACAGAAGCACAGGGCAGGAAGACCAAGAATCTACCCTGGTTTAAGACCAGCCAGAATTCCAGTGATGGGCAGCGACCCTCTCCAGGGCACTGGCAAGAAAGGCGCCTGTTATGAGACAAAACATCCTCTGGTGCCAATAAGCACAAGGTCAGCTAAGGGCAGTCTATACCTTCCAGCAGGGAATACAATGCAATGCAGCTCACTATTATGGATCAATAACAGGTTTTAAAAAAGAAAAAGCCTTTACTTGAATTTTTAAAATGAGGGTGACTCCATGTTAAAGAAGTCGTTTTCTGTTTTGTCAAATGGAGAAGTGGTGTTTTTGGTTCCTCCTGCAGTAAGTTAGATAAGAGAACGATAAATCCATGTGATCATTGTACAAACGCACACCTATTTTAAAAACAATGCATGTAACTCTTTCATATGTCATGGAAGGTTTCTTTGCAGTACATGGAAAATTAATATCTTAGGCAGCATTTACTTTGCATGTCATAGAAATATTTCTTGAAAGGGTGTTCAGATAATGAGCAGTGATTGTCTAACTTCTAGCAAAATTGTTCCTTTTCTCCACAGAACTGTTCATCTTTCTCAAGAAATGTGTTTTGACTAACATCGTAAAGCCAATTTACCAACAAATATCATTGGAGATGTTTTGGGGAGCTCACTTCTGTGCTTAACTTGAGAATAAATGGCATGAAAATTAAACCACTGGTACTTTCTCGTGTCCTGCTGCCCTGGGAATACTGCACATGGTTGACTGAGAAGATGGTTTCTGCAGGTAACAAAGATTATCTGTAGAATGGCAACCATCATCCAAAACAATCCAGGACCCTAGAAGTCAAACTGTTTAAGAAACTTCTCTAAGTGTCAAAGAGCCCATGCACTTTAATTCACAAAGACAGGTAAACTTCCCCAAAGCCAAAAAGTGTACATCAAAGAAGGCAATGAATCAGACGCCGCAGAATACTAACGGCTAGAAGGGGCAGGAGTGACAAGGAGAAGATACACACAGACCTCCGACCCTCAGGAGACCCTGACAATCCCTGTCCAGTCACCAATGCCCAACACAATCTCCCCAAGATGCTCAGGGTGCAACTTTTAAGAAGTCAGGCATCTGGACAGGCTAATTGCTTGATGTCCATGTGTCTTAGTTCAACTTTTTACATAGCACTTGATAGGGCAAGTCTAGAAACATAACTTGTGGAAGATCCCACGCATTTCACAAGCAGGAAAGGCAGGGAACGTGCTCTGAGTACCCAGTACAGTGTATTCACGGCTCACAAAGCTCTTCGGGAAGGCGCCCAACAGGTCGCCAGGCTGTGTCCCCTGCTGTCCTGTCAGCATTAGCCCGATGGTGGCAATGCCATTGTTTTACGAATACCTCGAGGATCTTTTGGAGCAGCTCAGGAACTCCTTCGAGGGCCATGGACGTGTTGTGGTAGTCTCGGTGTTGAAGAACTGTGTACACCATCTCAGGGTCACCAGTGCTCACAGCCTCGTGTAAAACTGGAAAACAAAGAGGTAAAACTTAATGGCCCAGTATTCTCCCACTTTCTGACAAATTCCACAGCCAGTCTGGAAAATATCTATATAGATCAAAGACCAACACATCCTTCCTGGAGAGGAGAGGCTGTAGTCCCACGTTCTCATTTATGACCACGACTTCTTATTGCTAGCTTGTAAATAGGTAAAAGGAGAAGAAAATAGAGCACTTTTAGCTTCTTGCTCAAACCCTCATCCTCCTTGGTCAAATCCATCCTCCCCTTCTCCTCCTTTGTTACCACTGGTCATGGAATCCTGACAATGCCTTCAGAAAGCTGGCTTTCACTATGTGATCACACAACTACGGGTACATGTAGATCAGGCAAGCACACACACGCAGTAAAGTGCCAGGATTTCACTGGGAAAGGCCACTTTTAAAAGGCCATAATTTCTTTTTGATTTTGCTTATCCTGATGGATTCATTGTAGTTCCCATCACATTCCTCGGGGAAATCTGGCAGCCACTCTTGTGCATGGTGGGAAGGATTTGCACTGAGAGCTGCTTTCTAGATGAGGAGTCCCCTCTACTCAGGGCTTTGGGCCCAGGACATACTGGGGCCACCGTGCTGTAGATCAACCAGCAGCATCCGCGGCCCCTATCTCTTTGCCCCAGTCCCTAGGCCTGAGAGAGAATGAGTCTTCAGATAGAGGTGACTCTGAGGACAATGATTGAGACTGACCTTTAGTCAGAAAGAGAAACTGAAATGAAAGGCTTTAAAAGGTTTTAGAAGCGTACTTGCCTGTCCATCCCTCGCGATTTTCTTTTGTAACATCTGCTTTATGTCGGAGCAAGACTCTAGCAGATTCCAAATGTCCCAAAGAAACAGCAAGGTGCAGTAAGGTTCGACCTCGTGGGTCCACAGCCTCCACATTCTGTAAAGTAAACGCGGGCATTTCTATAATTGGATACATTACACAAAACTGCGGCAATGTGTCTGAGAGATCATAAGTACAAAACAGAAAACTATTTACACATTCATTACGGTAATATATGGAGAAACGAATGCTTGCATACGGGCACAGTTGAAATAGGAATTTGGGGGCCATAAATAAACATGATAGCTACTGAGTTCCTCTTTCTATAGAGTTAAATGCCTAATACATAAATGCCAGCTACCGGCCTCAGATCATTGAACGCAACCTCAAGTTCTGAACCACACTCAAATTAAGTCTAAATAAGGCTTTCCAGAAATACAGCCACCCTAAGAAATGTAGGGGATTTCTTAAGCACATATCAGCATTCAGGTGTAAAACAGGAAGCACAGGCATTTATGCAAAACGGAAAGTGCAGAAGAGAATTTAGGTCAGAATAAAATTATATTCTCCAGTTGGATTCTCACCAAAACACCATTCTCATTATTGTGTATTGAGTTCCAATTGGCCTGAAGTAGTAACATCCTTGGGTCCTGCAGACAACGTGCATGATCTGTCAGGCGTGTATGTGCACATATTTATAGACAAATGTAAAAACACACACACACACACACACACACACACACACACACACAGGCACCATCAGTCCATTTCCCCTGGAGGGTTTTCTTCCAGGTACAGACATGCCCTCCTCCGGTACCTGCGTTGGGGCTCCAGAGCCCAGTGCCTGTTTCTCTGGTGGGAGCTCATTCTCAGTGGCTGGGCCCTGCCTTCCAAAGACAGCTCTGACCTTCCTTCCAAGGACACAACAAGCTGCCACAGGACTTTGGAATATAAAAATGGAATATAGAAAATGTGCTTTGTCTTGATTTGAGATGCTAGCTGTGCATGCATTAACTGCAGCCTCCAAAGAGGGCCTCTAGTAATAGATAAAAGAAAATTACAGATAAATTGCACTACACCAAAACTGAAAACTTTTATACTTCAAACTAGAGGCCCGATGCACAAAATTCATGCAGGGGGCTCGGCCCTCGCAGCCCTGGCTTCGTCTGGAAGGTCGTCTGGAAGGTCGTTTGGCTGTCCGGTCTAATTAGCATATTATGCTTTTATTATTATAGATGATACCATAAAGAAAGTAAAAAGACAACCCATAGAATTGGGAGAAAAGTTGTGCAAGTTATGTATCTGATAAGGTGCTAGTATCCAGAATATATAGAGAACTACTCAAGAATAAAAAGACAACCCAATTTAAACTGGCAAAGGATTTGGATAGACATTTCTTCAAAGATATGCAAATGACCAATAAGCACATGGAAAGATGCTCAACCTCATTAATTATTAAAACCACACTTTGCACCCATTAGGATGGCTACAATCAAAAGACAGACAATGACAAGTGTAGACAAGGATGGAACCCTCAAACACTGCTGGTGGGAATGTAAAATTTGAAGAAACAGTTGGCAGTTCTTCAAAAAGTTAACCATGGTGACTCTATGACCCCAATTCCTCTCGTAGGTATTTTCCGGACGGAAAACAAAGGTCTGTGAAATGGTAAATGGATAAGCGAAATATATATACACAACGGGATTTTATTCAGCCATATAAAAAGGAAGGAAGTACTGATACATGCCACAATGTGGATGAACCTCAAAAACACCACGCTAAATCACGTTAAAGAAGCCAGACACAAAGGCCACATGCACAATTCAATTTACATGAGATGTCCAGAACAGGCAATCTATGGAGATAACAAGTAGATTAGTGGTTGCCTGGGGCTGAAGGGATTGGGGGAAATGGGGAAGTAACTAAGGGGTATGGAGTTTCTTTTGGGGGTAAAGAAATTGTTCTGGAATTTGACAGCGGTGATGATTGCACAACTCAATTAATATACTAAAAACCACTGAAGAATACACTTTAATGGGTGAATTGCATAAGCGAATTATATCCCAATAAAGATATTTAAAAATCAATGTATGTTTTATGTAATACATAAAACTAATGTACTGATATATTGTTTGATGAGTTGCTTAATTTCTCGAGTTTCAGTTTGCTCCCTTATAAAATGAGATCAATAAAAAACACCTACCTTACTTAGTTCTTACAAGGCACAATGCCTAACCCCATAGTAAGCATTAAGAGGAGCCAGCTCTTATTATCATATGCCCACACTATGTCGTTTTATATAAGCTGTCACTTTCTTCCTAAAAGAGGTTTGTTCAAATTTCATTATAGTTGATAGTGAGTCTTAGGGTCCTCAAATAATGACATTATTCAGTGAGCAAGAGCTTTCAGAATTTCACTGAAATTCATTTAAAGCTGATTGTTTTTTCTTTAGGTTTCTTCAGGCCTGAGCTGTACCCAATTAACAATACCCACCCCAGCCCAGTCAGCGTGTCTCAGTAGGTGAGCATTGACCTATGAGCCAGGAGGTAACGGTTCAATTCCCCCCTCAGGGCACATGTCCAGGTTACAGGCTCAATCCCCAGTAGGGGGCCTGCAGATTCTCTCTCATCATTGATGCTTCTATCTCTTTCTCCCTCTCCCTTCCTCTCTGAAATCAATAAAAATATATCTAAAGAATACTCACTCCTTTTAAGTATAATAGTGCCCCCCAAAAGAAAAGGATGAGATTTCTGCATGTCTCCTTCCTATCTGTTAACTTACGCCCCACCAACTTTTCTTGCTCAAAGCTTCTCTGTCATCCCCCTGTCCTCCAGAGGCAGCAAAAGGCGGAGCTTTGAGCGCAGGCTGCAGAGTAGGCACCAGTCTCACTTCCTGGTCCCTTCCTAACCTCAGGTGAATTACTCAACCTTCCATGCCTTGGTCTCAGCGAGAAGTACAGGCTTTATAAACGACCACTGTTTCCTCTTGCGGGGCACCTCGGGCAACCACCTTCACCGTGGGCAGTCTCAGACTGCCCTGGTCCTCTGTGGCCTGAACTGGTTCCTCATTCCAAGTCCAGGGGGGAAAGGTACCCACTGGCCTGGTTCTCTAAGGTGAGTCCGAGTTCCTGAGGGCCCAGGGGGAGCACCCGAGTAGCTCTAGGCTCTTTATCTTGGGATGTCTGGCCCCGGCTCACAGAAGGCTTCCGGCCAACAGGCACTGACTTGAGTGTGTGCCCAGTGGCCTCCCGCAGCCTTGCCACAGGCGGGGGTGGACACCTCAGGGTGGCTCCCTGTCAGGCTCTGAGGACTGCTGCTGCCTAGACAGCTCTCCCGCTTGCCTGAATTCTGTGCTTTCACCTGCTGGTACCTTACTGGGGCTGGCCCTAGAGTCAGGCGTCACCTGCTACCATCTATCCCACTCAGTCCCAGGGTTTTCCCTTCCCTGTCTGAGGTGCACTGACTGGTCTTTGTATTTGCCCCCTTTCATCCGTTCATTCTCCCAGTGTCTTTAAGAAGTTTCTATTCATTCTCCCAGCATCGGTAAGAAGGCCAAAGATACATAACAGACCTCTCTTGCTAAATGATAAATTGCATAACCATAACACAAATCATTTCAACTGCACCAACCAACTTGAAGGCTCCACTGAATATTAAAGACAGCAAAGCCGATGGGTTAAGAGGCACTTAATAAAGTGCCTGAAGGGAAGGCACTTAATACTGTGCCTTTGCTGAGCAGATGTTAAAAGCCTGAAACAATCTCATAGTTGACAAAGTTAGTTACTAAACAGCCAACTCCAGCTATTAGCGAGATATCGGGTTGGGGGCCAACACCCACGCAGAAGCACATACTTATCAGCTTCATCTGGATAAACTTGATTTTTTCTGTTCTGCTGTTCGTAGAACAAAATTAAATTCTTACCAGTATGCCTGCTTCAAGTCTCACTCATGGAATGGAAGGAATGAAGTAATGGATAGCAGAAACTTACTGGCAAATAAAACATTAAGTGAAACAGCTGGTTTTACTGCTGGGGTAGTAGGAATTTTTTGTTTTTAATTATGCAACCAGTATGTGTTCCTTTAGAAAAACTGGAACATACATAAAAAAACTGAATACCCAGGATGATCATCATAATAACAGCAACTATGGCAAATGGTATTATATCCATTTACTATATGCCTGCATTTTCAGATGGGTTCTCTGCCTTATTTTCCACAATCCTGAAATGAAGGTACTTTTAATCAAATAAGTATAGCATAAGGGTTAAGAATACAGGCTTAGGGCAGAGCCTGACTTTCTGGGTTTATATCCTGGATCGGGATATACATACACAAGCAGACATCAGAGCCTCTCGGGATAAGCATACATCTGAGCCTCTCCTCCTCAGTTTCCTAATCTGTAATATGGGAATCATAATAGCACCCACCCCCAAAGATTGGTGTCTAGAATTAAATGTAATACTGCACATAAAACATTTTAGCACAGCCAAAAGGTTTCATTATTGTTAGGGCATATGCCTGGGTTGCAGGCTCAATCCCCAGTAGGTGCCCTGCAGGAGGCAGCTGATCGATGATGTTCCTCTCTCATCGATGTGTGTGTGTGTGTTTTTAATATATTTTATTGATTTTTTACAGAGAGGAAGGGAGAAGGATAGAGAGTCAGAAACATCGATGAGAGAGAAACACCGATCAGCTGCCTCCTGCACACTCCCCA